ATGAGAGAGAAAGATAGAGGGTTTAAAGGAAATGAAGGGAGCGCGAGCAAAGGAAGAAAGGAGAAGGAGGACAGGTAACGCCACCGAGAGCCACGGTGGCCGCCGGGGAAATTACAGCTCCTTCCTTACTTGCCAGAGATGTGCATAAACTCTGCATTACACTCAGTGGCGCTCATACGCGTACTTCGCTACTGCGAGCTCGTTCGCGAATGCCTGCCGGACAGGCAAAGATCGGTCGTTTCAAGTCTATTAAACGCTACCGCGATTCGCTTCGTCGCGATCGGCTTTTTTTCCCCCCCGCTTCCAGAGATCACATCCCTATATTCTTCAAGCTCGTTTTTACACCATCTATCGTTTAAAGGCGAAGATGCAACGTCGAGATTCTAAAACGATCCACGTATCGATGCTAGCAATTATCATTCCTTTTTATCTATTTAAAATTCAAAATATAGTCGATCTTCTTCTCAAGTACGTACGACGTGGCTCATTTGCCGAGTAATTTCTCGCCGCGCTTCCCGCGCTCTGAGGAGAATGAGAGGCGCTGTTCGTATAGAATGCATGACTCGAAGACATGACGGCCCCGAAGTCCCCTCAGTGGCGTAAGTACCCACCTTAGACGGCGACGTTACGTCGACCTACACTCCTCCTTGTTGCTCGACCCGATGGTCCCACCCCCGCTACCCCATTTAAATCTCCGTTGTTTATTGCAAATGGATTCCGCATCATGATGCCCGGGTGGCTGCGGGACCCTATTCAAATACCTTGTGTTTCCTCGTCGGAACCGACTCTGGCCTCCGTCCCCCTTCCCTCGTTCCCTGCCCCCGTCCCTCATACTCGACTCGCCCACCCTTACCGCGCGTACGGGGTTGTTATTGCCCCCGGCGTGATTGTTCCATCTCTCTCTCTCTCTCTCTCTCTTTCTCTCCCTCTCGAAGATCTTTCGAATAATTTACTTTGCGCGATAGCGATGTGACGCACGTCTCTTTGCCTTTCGTTGCTCTCTCCTTCTCTCTTTCCTTCCCACGATATTCGTTGCCTGTCGCCCACCTCTCCTCTCGTCGAGGAGCCGAAATTTCCTCTTTTTTGTTTGGGTAATCGAGGATCGAAGTCACCCGGCCGGAAGATCAGAAAAATTGAGTGGATCCTAATACGGGAACGCGATTATCCGAATTAGCGGCTTGCCACGGGTCCTCGCCCTCTTTTCATCGCGGTCGCGCCGCTCCCTCTTCTCCTAGCTACGAGAAGGGTGCCCGCGAGGCTCGCCGCTTTTCTTAAATTTCGCTCGATACCCATTGTTAGTCAGCCGGCTTATTTTCTCTCGTCTGTCTGTGTGCGCCGGTTGACTCGATCGAAGGAGCCAGAAAGTTACCTATCGTACCCCCCAGCGTTTCGACGTTGTACCTCTCGAGAGTTGGAGATAGTTAGTCACGGGATGATGCAGCAAACTGACCTTGATAATTCTGCCAGAAGGCGGATGCTTGACTGCCGATCAGGTCCAAACCGTATCCCCATGCCGGTTTTTCGGGGGTGGAGGGTTGTTGGGAGGGACGCGGCACCTGGGCCTCCCTGTACTGTTGGGCTTGTTGCTGTTGCTGAAGGGGTTGCTGGGACGACTGTTGCTGTGATGGTTGTTGCTGCGACTGCGAGTGCACCGGACTAGCTTCCGGCGGTTCTGAACTCGTGCGTGCCTCCACCGTCACATTTTCTAAACGAAACAGAAAAGCGAAATCGACTTCATCGAGTGTAGCGACACTTCGGTCAACATTTCCACGGTGTGCGTAGCAGTTCGTTTTGTTGCAAGAGCAACTAACGACCCCTCGAACAACCGTCTCGAAGCTGCGAATTCGCGTGCTCCGTTTCATTCGAAATTAGTATCGCTACTCTCTGCTTCTGACAGGGTTAATCAGCGGCGGCAACGGGAGCAGCAACGTTGTTGCGACGCGAGCCGGATTCCTGGCCCACGTTGTATATCGGAATAAGAGATTTCACTTAAAGGGTTTCAAGCTCGCGCACGAGTTTTGCTAGTGACAGGAAGAGGGGTGCCGCCGCGGTGCGCTTCTCGCTGCCTCCGAACCCCTGCCGTCGAAGAACGTCGTTTATCGTTTAGCCGGAGAATCGAGAAAGAGACGACGAACGTTGGGATGGTTGTGTTTGAAACCGGAAGGGATACGGATCTTTCCGTCTTCGGGGGATAAGTAAGGAATCGTATTCTGCCGGGTGTCAGGCTGTTTGCTCTCCTTCGGTGAATTAATTAATGTACTCCGAGATCACCGGTAGCCCGAGGGCATTGCGAGAGAGATCGTTCTGAAACAGTTGGTTAGAACTCGATGAAAACTCTTTTCTCTCTACTGTGTCTCTCTGTCTGTTTGTCTGTCTCTTTCTCTCTTATTATTCTCCGACATCACGATAATCCTTGTACAAGCACCCGCGCACAGTCGCTTCTTTTTCCGCTTTATTTCTGTTTTTGGAGCTTATACTTACCAGTGATCGCTCTGACCTGCTCGGGGGAAGCCCCCGTTGCTTTCAATGCTTCTTCGAGTTGCGTGCGCCTCTTGATCTCCAGGTCCAGCTGCTCTTGCAAGCGTTTCCTTGCTCTTCGTTCTTTCTTTAATCGCTTCTGATACATCACTGCAAACAGAAACATTGAAAATTCTTAGTCGGTGCTATCGATAATTCCTGCCGGGGATGTCGCGTGCGACTCTTTCGAACGATTTCGACGGACACCTGTCAAAACGACTTAACGGGGTAGGCAGTGTTTTCGGTTCCCCAGGTGGCGGAACCCTGGCGCGGTCAAAGTCCAACGAAATTATCTCGGTGTATCATTGTACCGCGGGGGGTTTTACAGTCAGCGCAGGGGGCCTCAGACCTCGAACACGTGTCTAAGCGGGGGTCTGATCGTCTCGTTGGCTACCGTGCGCGTCTGTCGACGATGTCTACTCGAGGATCGACGTCGATCGATCGCTCGATCTAGTTATCGATCCATCTACGAATTTGTTGCCTGGTTAAACCGGTTCCCACTTTCGATCGCGCTGCGCACCATTCGCAAACGGGAACAATTTTTTCTCGCGACTGCCTCGCAGCTGTCAGCCTGACCGCGTCCGTTAATTACTCTATCTCGATAGATCGTAGAACTCTGGTTGTTCGAACGTATCGCGTATTACGCTTTACAGCAACTCGCCGCACCCATCAGACCCGCGATCACTTTCTCCGACCGGCGAGACAATTTCGAGTCCGATTCTTGGACTGTAGAATCCTGACGATCGCGGAGACCCGCAGGAAGAGCAATATTCGACATGGTCAAACGCGTTTTCGTAGACAGGCCGATTAAGCGATCCTTCGGACCTTTCGGGTCGGCGCGTTTGAATCGTCGCTCCTCCTCTTGTCCGCTTTAATTATTTTCCATTATTGCGAACCGCCGCGTCCGGCCATTGTGTCTTGCTCGGGATCACCCGCTCCCGGCGCTTTCAGGCCCCGATCTCTCGCGAACCTGGCCTTTGTTGTCGGTGCCTCGATCGTCACGATCCTCGTTGCAATCGTTGCGATCGACGGCGTTGCCGGTTCTACGATGGCCGGATTTCGCGGAACGCGGGGAAACGGCGCGAGCTCCCTTTCCTCGGACCTACCCTGTGTTTAACGTGGAAGTCGGTAGTTAGCGTCCAATTAGTCTCGTCACCGGAGAAACGAGCCGGAGTCGGCCACAGACGCACAAGTGCATCGTCATTTTCGTCCGATCCGCGCCGAAACATGCTATTATAACGAAGAGGCGTCGAGGAAACTGTGTAAAAGATAGTTTACACACCGTCGTTTGTATCGTTTGTCTCTCACGGCGCCACCCGTGGCACAGCCAGGATGACGCGTCTGGAATTAGGAAGCTGCGAACCGTTGAAGTCAAAAGCGTTCGCAAACGAGGAAAAAGCTCTCGAGTTCGCGATCGGACTTTGGTTCACCAAATGGATATTTTTCATCACGCGATCGGCAGACGGATATCGGTTGAGCGTCACTGATACGTGATTGATTCCCGGCAGACAAGGCGCAGACAACCCCTTTGCCCCCTCTATCTGGTCACGATGCCGATATACCTGTGTTCCCTTTCCCCGCGCGCACACCTCTGTCTTTCTTCGTTGCGATCTTGCTCTCGCCTCGACTTTCGAGGAACGCGGCGGCGTTCATCTCCCTCCCGCCCTTTCTCATCCATCTTCCTTCGACACTCATTCTCGCGTGCTCCGTTTCTTCGTCTCGCCAAAGTCCCCCATCCAGATGCTGTCTTCTCTTCGCTGTCGAATAGGTGTGCAACGACAGGAGGGTAAGGAGAAAGCTCGCGCGAGGGTGCCTGGAGAAGGAAGAGATGGTGGAGGAGGAGGAGGTGTGGAAGGAGGGGGTTGGCGAGGGCGAGGAGGGACGCGAAGCAAAGTACGCCGGTGGCGGGTGGGTGGGGTGGGACAAGGTGGGAAGGGGGACAGACTTCTCTTCGGTGGTAGGAGCGGCCTGTAGGGTACGAGGGAGAAGCGGGGGGCGCAGCATTATGATGCAAAGATGGCGCGGCTGCGGCACCCTAGAATTAGCTCGAGCACTCGCCATTGGCCGCTCGGCAAACCACTCCTTCGGTAACAACCGACTGCATACGTTGCATACTAAGGATACACGCGAGCCTGGCAAAGAATTGCCCCGAACCGGAGCAGCCCCGGCTCGATTTCCACCTACGATTCCGAAAGCCGCCTGAGTTTTTCTCCTCGCGGCTTTTCCGTCCTCACGCGTCCCATCGTTCCACGATTGTTAGCCAGAAACGCGACAACGAGGGATTCGTTGCTTCTCTTTCCTCCAAAAGCGATCTGTTCACGTTCATCGAACAATTTCGTCGTCTGCGCGGTACCGATCGCTCGGGGACAATAGTTTCTCGGTAGCGGTAGTGGATAGCCATCCTGCGAATTGTTTCTCCGACGATGTCCCTCCTTGGTCCGAGCGTAACAGCCGTGTAACAGCTCGGCAAAGAATCGGGAATCGAAAAATTCATCCTTCATTGTCCTTCCTCTTGGCATTTTCGTTTCTCAAGGGCAGAGAAGCCAGCAATCGTCTGCCTTTTTTCCCTCGCTCGATCGATATCGACCATAAAAAATGCTACACTTTCATGAAACTGCGCGAGCGACTGACAAGCGACATTGTGGATCACGCGTCCGAGGAAAAGAAATCGGCGGTCGTTACAAACTTAGAGCCGAGAGTGGAGCATGGCTAATCGACCCACGCCACGATGCGGTGGTCAAATATCGACCGAACACTGAGAAATCGTTCGAGAAGTTGGCGAAGGATTATTAGTCGTCAGGTTGATTCAAGGAGAGTGGGAGGGGAGGGGAGACACGGGTTGCGCGATCGGGTCAAAGGGTATCCTAAGCAAAGAGGGAATGCTCCATTAGATGGATGCGCTCGAGAAGAAAAAAAGAGGGAAAAGAAAGAAAAGAAACGACGTTTCTATCTTTCTCTTTTCCTCTCTCTAAACACGTCAAAATACATCAGCTACCGCTGTGCGTTCGATCAGAAATTCTGCGGCCGCTGTCCGCGCGGACTACCCACGAAGACTCGCGAACTATACCGACGCGTCCACCTACGTTCAACGCTGGTCCGAGATCTCGTGGGCCGATATCGATCTCGTTGCTGTCACGATCCGAATCGAGTCCAGATCTCGAGATGAAAATGAACGCGGAAATCGCGCGTTTCCAACGGAAAGAGTGCGAGGAGCGCAACCAGAGATTTCGCTTCGGGCTGTTTCGAAGTCGTCGCCTATCTCCCAGAATTAGCGGCCGGTCGCGTAAACAATCAGGGGAAACGCGACGGGGTAAATCCAATAGGGAAACCCGCAGAAACTAATATACAGGCCTGGTCGTCTTACCCGGCTCGTGTTTAATACACGTTCTCTTGCCGGAACGAGAGAACAGTCCCTCCGGGAATAGCAATATGATTTACATTTTGAGGTTATATTGACCATTCCCGGCACCTGCAGCACTCGCTCCTTTCTAGCCCGCGGCCGTCGTCGTCGATGACCGGAATCTGCTTAGGAAAAATCGTTAATATCTCGCTCCTACAATTCCTCGTTTCTTCTATCCGTTTCTTCTTTCGATTCATTTATTTTTTCATACTCTCCTCCGAGTATTGTGCTGTCTTTTCGTAAAAATTCAATCGATCGGTAGTTCGAGAAGTTCCAACGTAAGGTCGAACATTGAACGAGATCTGTTCGAAAGGGATAACTAAAGAGAGAATGGAAGAGGGAGGGGGGTGCGAGTCCAAGATTAGGGTCGTGGAAGCTGGCCGCGTACACTTAATGCGTAATTACGATTCATGAAGGCGGATGAACTGCGGCGTCTGGACGAGCGCGCGTAATCTTGCCCGAATACGTCCTCAAGGGCCGTTAGACGGTGTTTAAAGGGGTTCTTACGCACCTACTCGAGACGCGGGAGCAGCTCGGTCTCCTCCGACGGACAGCATCTGTGCTCTACGGCTCTCTCGATATCCATACAAAAGCCGTCTGCTGAATAACATTAGGCCCGAGCCACGCCGTTCGCCGCGGACGATTATAGTCCAACGAACGTCGATAGTAGTTAGACCGTGTATCCTGTGCGAATGCTAATTTCGAACGGCTCGAACCGATGCTCGGCCGAGCCCGTTCTTCGGGTTAATCGACGAAACCGCGAACCGATGTCTTCCGGTTCTTTGCTCTCCTCTCTCAACGCTCGTTTCTTTCCCCGGCACACGCACGTTGTACATACACGCGCGCGCGCGCTTTACGAGGGGAGAGGTGTTTTTTGTCGCCTCTGGAGAATCGATTTTTCGGCACGGCGACTTGGACAGATCCACCGTGACAATCGTACCTTCTCGCCCTGCTTCCCCTTACGCGACCGCGAGGGTCGTTTCTCGTTCAAATATCAATTTTGCGGCGACAACTTTTCGCCCACCCCCTACTCTCCACTCCGTGACCCATATGGAAATGGAGATCGGTCATCGGAATCCAGTTTGCCGGTGGAAACATCCCGGGAGGGTCAACCGTGTTTCGCTGCTTTACCGCTTCGAGGGGTAGTCACCCTTGGACGACCGGCTTCCTCCGTGCCACGGAACGTCGTAAAGTCGAAAGCTTTTCGCTTTTACGTATTATTCTTTTATCGGATATCGGGATAGCTGGTATCCGGCGGCGAGATATACCAGGGAAAATCCTCTCTCATACTCTCGCCCCTTTCGGTTCCACGGCCTGCGAAATATGACCGTTCCCCTATTCTCGAGAAGCGTCTGTTTCGTCTCGCCGCTTGTTTCCACAGGACAAACTAATTTATCCCATTAACATCCGCTGCGTGCGCTTCGTCGAGCTCCGCGGTTCTGTTTACCGGGCGGGCGAGTAAAGTTTTAGATTCGCGATGAAGGAGAGAACTCGAGACGCCTAGACCAGCGGAACACGTTGACGAAAACGAAACACGCGCCGCGAGACGATCCGCCGAGGCGAACGGTCGTGCTCTGAACTTCTTCGGGACAGGAGGCGAAGGAAGCTGGGACGAACGCAAGAACAAATATGGAACTTCCTCCCATACTTCTCTCCTTCTTTCTTACGTTTTATTTCTCGTCTCGTGTGAGCGTTCGGCGTGTGGTCCGACGTGTGGAAGCGTGCCGAAGGAAACGAAAGCTGTGACCAGCCAGGCGGTTGAATTACGCTATACGAAAATGTTTACGCTAGCCGGGTAAGCGCGGGTCATTCGAAACCGACCGATCTGGTTACTCGGTCCAGCCCGCGGAAACGTAATAGCCGTAGTAGCGTTTTGCTCGACTTCTCTGCCTTCAGCTCCAATCCTCTTCGTAAGATCGTGGCGAGAGTTCGAAGAAAATCGAGCGTATAGCCTGTGTGCTTGTCCCTGACGAATCGATCGATGCGAAAACAATGAAAAAGATGCGAATTTGAAGAAGGAAGGGAAGCAGCGGATCCAGTCCGGTGGATCGGAAAGGGGAGGATCGCGTCGCGTCGTTGGTAACGCGTCTATTCCCGGATAATTGTTTTAAAGGTAGCAATCGCTGTCAGGTTACGACCGGCATACATTAATTTAGCCCGATTTATATTATATTATCGGTAAGTATGATCGTCGATGGAGCGGGATGATAGGGCTGCGCCGTGATAACGCATTTCGCGCGCACGTTCGTCGGTTAACGGGAGCCGATTGACCTCGAAGCTCGTTATGTCCAAGGACTAGCAATTACGCGCCGACCAGGCCCGGTATCGGATAAGAAAGACAGAAGGGAAGCCACCGGAGAAAGGCGAAAAGATAAAAAAAAGAGAAAAAAAGAAAAAAAAAA